GTTGTTTACTATATTCAGACTTTTGGAAATTTTAGTTTTTATATGTCTATTGTGAGCTTTCCATGATAATTTACTGTCTATTATAACTCCCAGGAGTTTATTTTCATTTACATTTTCTATTTGGACACCTTCAATCATAATTGGTAACTCTGTGTTAATCTTGTGATTGCCAGACATGGTCTTATTCAAGATGAATGACAATTTATTAATATCCATCCACTTTTTAATTTTGTTTAGCTCCTCATTTAGGGTACTTATGAGTTCATTATAATTGATTTAATATAGTCTAAAAACTCAAAAATTGATTTAAACAGCACATTTTAAGGAGTCTGTGATCAATACGTAAATTAACGGTTCTGTTTAGGTCACAGGTGTCAAACATAAGGCCCGGGGGCCAAATCCGGCCCTCCAAGACCTTTAATGTGGCCCTTGGGTGATTTTCTACTAAAATATTTTAATTATATTTTCTATTAAAATATTGTTAACTTTCTGTGGTGTTTATCTCAGCAGCGTCTCCAGTGTCTCTGTACATGGCTCCTCCCACCAGAGCAGCACAAATGAAGACTTGTCTCTTTCCAAACGCTCTTAAAGGACGATCGTTTTGACTGTTGACCGTGACACCCTCATTCAACAAAATGTCCAACATAAGAAAAGTGGATGCAGAGTGCAGGATTTTACAAGAAAAATTTACTTATTCCTGTTTGCAAACAAGTTCATGTTAAAACATTGTGTTGAAATTGAATTTTTCTTCAAGTTTCAGGTTGTTCATAATATTATAATATTATAATAAGAAAGAGTTCATCAATTAAAAAAGATTTCTGTAATAGATTTGCATTTCTCTTCACAAATATTTGAAGTTATTGTTATTTTGGGGGTTTATATGACATGAGTTTTCTGATCCGGCCCCTTTGGGATCAAAGTAGGTTGGATACGGCCCCCTGACCAAAATGAGTTTGACACCCCTGGTTTAGGTGTTTGATTTGCAACAAAAAAGGTGAGAGTGACTAACTGAAAAACTGTGTAACCGTACGTTTATGTGCTAGGGACTTGTTTAACAGCATAAATCATCTTAACTGTTATAGTTCCAACCAAGTTAGTTCCTTATGGTCAGATTGTGTTAAAATAAAACACAGATTAATGTCTAATAACACCTCTGACAGAGTAGAGGCTCCAGTTAGCTTCACATCCCCTGGGGAATTGATTGCACTGATTAAAAGTCTTATTTATGTTCATGAAATTAAAATGGAAACACATATTTATTTGTTTATAAACCCAAATGTATAATTGATCCATACAAAGTTAGAAATATGGATTCATTTATTTTTGGCACATTGCTCAGCCCTGATTTATTCTATGAACCACCATGTTTAATATCGCACACTCTGAAAAAACACTTGTGTACTTCTGTGTCCTTAATATCATATTGGTCATGGAAAACAACTGGAACACCCCTTTCCCCTTACTGGCCAAACATAATTAATGGTTTGTTTACAGTGGTTTATAATTTTAACTTTCAAACTTTCCACACTTACTTGTTATTAATGAGGTCATTCCTGAGTTCTCTGAAATCCATTTATAAAACTCACACCTCCAGTGCCTCCAAGCCTAAACAAAATACACAGTCAGGGGTTTTCTTGTGTCATTTGGCAACATTTGGTTCCACATGACGTCAAGGATGACTTCGGTACTTGGGGGGAAAAAAATGTATAAAGGGTTCATCCAGTGACATGACATGAATGAGTCTGGTCTGTCCCTTTAAGCAGACTGCCCTTGTCACATTGGCTGCACGTCTTTTCTCTGACTGGCTTTCACTCAGTGTTGTGAGCTTTTAGCCATGTCAGAATGCTATTAACTCCTCAAAAATATGCCTGGAGTTGTGTTTTGTTTTATTCACACATTTTGAATAATCCTTTATTATTAGTCCGTCTAAATCTTCAAAGCTCAAAATGCTCGTTCCACTTCATTATGACATATAATGGTAGTTTTTATGTTAACTAGGGCTGGGTATCATTTAGAAGTTGCCGATACGATACATACCTTGATACATAGGCCACGATACGATACATATCTCGATACAGTGTGCTTTCGATTCGATACGATATATTTCAAAGCAATTCGATATGGCTTAATAAAAAATAAAGGTTAAATCATGACTGTGATACTAAAAGTCATTGTTAAACAATGTCTTTTGCAAAGTTAACATGAAAAACGCCCATTTTACTCATCAAAACAGTGAAAATGTCAAATGTGTCCTATAAACAAGCAACAAAACTTAGCAATTTAACAAAATAATTTAGTAAAATATACCAAAAAATACTCTTGGTGATATATTGATACAGCAGCCCATGATTTTGATACCGTATCATCACATTAAACAATATGATATTTTTATATTTCTGAACAGCTCTAATTTACGTTTTGTTTAGTTGAGATGGGGGCTTCTGATATCATCCAAATGATTGATAGAATAGTGAAGGTGTGTGGAGTTTAAAAACACAGTGGAGCACTTTCTGTATTACCACATGTCACATTATCACAAGAGTGTTTTCTGTTTGAGAGAAGAGCTCAGCTTAAAAATGTTTTTATGTTAAACATGTGTGAAACAAACAAAACCAAAAAAACACACCAGTGTAGTGTAATATGGGCTCTTTAAATATGGCGTCTGAACTGAACTGCACATCTCTTCCTCCATTTTACACTGTGCTTTTTGCCTTATCTCTATTTGCAGCATGACTTTGTATACCACCTATAGTATCTCACCATCCCCAGTGCGCATTTATCATACTGTGTACCAATTATAAGTCCCTGTCACCGTGGAAACCCAATATTTTTTTTACCAAAGCTGTACCAGGAGAATATCACTTCATTAGCGGAAACAAAAACTAGCTATAGATTAGATAAAATTCTGTATGTCACACTTTAGGGGCTTTCCATCGGGACCTGCATTAAGTAACATGTCTTAGCATCTACAGTGGCAGTTAAGTGAGCAATGTGATATGGATTCAACATAAATAGAGTCACCTCCATTAGCCCCATCTGTGCTGTGACCTGTGTGGGATCACTTTCATTATGTGCAAATTGACATGTTTTGTTTACTTCAATAGCAGGTTGCAATAGAAAATAATACGCAGGTTATTTATATTTATGGTGTGGTTGAAAGGAAATGGTTTAATAAATTACAAAAAAAATAAAAAATTATACATCCACAATAGCAAGTATAAGCTTATGGTTAGGGTTGGCCGGGCATTTGATTGAATTTTAATCGAGACCAAGATTCAGTCATTTCTAATCACCAATAGTATTTTTAATTGAGAGGACTATAGCACGTCCTCTGTCACTAAAGTTATGTTGTTTGAAGAGGAAACTGAAGTAGCAATTAGCATAGAGTAGCAATAGCTATTATTTAAAAAGTGTATTTGTTAATGAAGTTTATATCAGTGGCAGCATGCAATAGAAAATAATATGCATGTTAATAATATTTCTGGTGTGGTTGAAATTAAATGGTTTACTAAATGACAAAACACGCACACAAAGATGTATAAGCATACTCTTAAGATTAGGTTGGCTTTGCAATTGATTGAATTTTAATTGAGACCAAACTTCAGTCATTTCTAATAAAGTCAATAATCTGCTTGTGTACTTATAATTGAGAGATCTACAGCAAATCCTCTGTCACTAAAATCATAGTGTTTGAAGAAGAAATTGGACCGAGAATAGAAATTGCAGGAGAAATTTGTGTGTAACTTTCAAATCCAAATCCACTTTTATTTATATAACACATTTTATAAACAAAGCAGTTTCCAAAGTGCTGCACAGAGATCATAAAATGAAGACAACAAAAAGGTAAATTGCTAAAATTTGTGTGCAAGTGTTATATGTTCAGGAAATTAATATGCAAACCCATTTTTAAAATAAGATAAATAAAACTGAATTTAAAATTGTGATAATTCATGAATTATCATACAACTATATTACATCTTTTTAATATTTTTGTATTTGTCTAATTAATTTGTTACTATGGACTATTCTTTATTCAATATTTTACCAGTACTGAAGGTCAAATGACAACACATTCTCATTTACATAGCAGACATGACTATATTTAGAAATGTGAAACTAGGTTATTAAGAGATACCTATTAAAATAAGAAAACTAAATCATATACTGTCCAATATAATGCTGTAATAAAGATGCAGTGTGTTACTAGTGTGGCTGGTCACGGGGGAAATTAGTGAAAGTGACAAATAACTTGATCCAATTTGATTTTATTTTTGGCCTGGACATGTCCTTTATTTAGGGCAAATTATGCTTTATGCTAGAGCTATTTTTGCACAATTTCACACACTATCCCTGTAATCTTACTTTTCTGCAGGATTGGGACCTATATTGTATTTTTTATACACTTTTGTAGTATTTTACAGTATTTTTTTAAACAGTTGGTTAATTTTAGTGTTGTTACAATATTAAATTTTCAATCATGATTTTGATACTAAGGAATAGACTGAATACTCTGATAAAACATTATTTCTTTAGATAGAATGTCATTTTTAATATTACAGTTACAGTACTTTCTTTTAAATTCCCATGTGGAGTTATATCTGTGTAATCCCTCAGTGGGTCAGGTATGTTCCATAGTGGTCCATGGGGGTATACTAATCTATGTGGTCTTATATTTGTTTTGATACAGCTCGAGATCATTCTACGGTTATTCTGGAAAGGTTCATTTCTGTCCTGTGAATGCGACTTTTACTATCAATACTTGCTCAAATGATCTATTTTCAGTACTAGTTTTAGCATCAATTAGTATTAGATTTTCGATACTTTTGACAAACCTAGTTAACCTATATTTATTGTAGAGTTTTGTCATTGTCAGTTCATATTCACATTGTACATTGTAACATATGTCATTGTATACATATGCCCCTATACAAATCAATATTTACACATTGGACACATATTTAAACAACTGTACATCATTTCCATTTCTTTGCTGTATTCAGGAGCTGGTAGCAGAACTTGGCTGGACCATGAAGCCCAGCACGAGAGAAGAAGATACTGTAGAAGGAAGCTCACCCACCAGGAGAGCCGAGGGAGGCAGCGGAGAGGAGGAGTGCGATGATGAAGACGGCTGTGAAGGATCTGGAGCACAGGATGGTGGTGAGTCACATAAGCACACCTGCAAAACAAGCAAAACAAACAGCAGCCAACACACGCCTCCTACCACATGTAGGGTTTCCATGCTTCTTCGAGACATTATATGAACATCTAAACAAGATTTTTTTATATTACTTTATTTTTCTATATTACACAAAATTGATTCTTGTGAGCTTTAATCCATGTCACACTTTATTATTACTCTGTCTACATCTCCAAAGCTCATAATGCTCTGTTCTACCTTGTGATGTCATTAAGTGGTAGTTTTCAAGTTAATAGCTACCTTTTACCTTTTGTTCTGTAAAGATTGGCAGTTCCAGGGTTGAAATCATCCAAATGATTCTTATGAAGGTGTACCGAGTTTAAAAACACAGTATTACCACACAACATGACAAGATGTAACAGAGTTTTCCTTTTGAGAGAAGATCTTGTGTGTGAATGAAACAAAACACAAGTCCAGGTATGTTTTTGATAAGGAAATAACATAAATCGAAATCTTGCATAAATTTGGACCCTTTAAACTTCATCATAAGTAGAGCACATTTTACAGTTTGTTTATGGTAATAAGCAATATTTTATGCAATATAGCACTACCTCTTCATAGCTGCATTTCACTGCAGTAGGTAACAGATTTTGATTTGTGCATTGTCATTTTTTTCTCCATGTGTATGATTCAGACTAACTAAGCACAGTGATGTGGGGTAGGTGAAAACAAACATTTTCTGAACCTAGAAAGCTGGACAATACAGGATTACTCAAACATATCAAAATAAAATTTTGAGTAAGCAAATGATGAAGCAGCGCTGTTATATTAACATTAAAAGCAATATAAAAGTTGATTTCATTGTTACTACTTGCCTAAAATAAACTGTAACCTTAACCTACTTTACTCAAATCTGAACTTGTCTAATCATGTTGTCATTGACTTGTGTAGAGTGTGTATACAGACTTCATTCTGATAAATACCCACCCACATACTCCTGAAATGCACAACAACTAGAGTTTGTGTATGGACATTTGCAAATAGTTACATTTATACATTGTAGCTGATGTCATCAACATTCCCTGGGAGTGTGATGCTAACTGCAGGCTCTGCTCTGTCTGAGGCTTTGTTAAACTTTAATCTGATGTTTATTTTACCACAATATGACCATAAAGAGCTGATTTAGCTGACACTACAACAGATGAGCTCATCTGTAATGTTAAACAATCCCTCTCAAGTAACTTTACAGTCACAAAATAGCTTTTGTGTTTTCAGATGGTCTTAAAACTTTTGTAGTTGTGCTTGTTAATGTGTGCAACTTATAAGCATTCCACCATACACATACATGCAGAACAGCCTCAGAGTGATGTCACTGCAACGTATCAATATCAGTCTCCATTTCTTATGTAAACCGGTTATTAAGCTTTGTGTAACATGTTAAGACAGTTAAGAGTTACTGGGTTTTGATAATCAGAGGGTTCTCTCAGGATTCTCTCAAGTTTTTGTCCTGTGGCATGTGGCAAAATTGGCATGTTTGGGATATTTCGATATAAAAAGTCTCAACAACATTATGTTACTTTTACTAGAAAATTATTGGTATACTTTTTGACCAAAAAAAAAAAGAGTTTTGTTAAAGGTGCACTGCGTAACATTTGTAGTGAAGGGTTTGCCACCTGCTTGTCTGCATGGAAATGTTATTGCTTTGTCTGGAATTTTTATTTATTTTTTATTAATAGGAACACTGCATATTAATGAACATGTACAACATTGCAGTGTAAATATGCCAGATTATAGCAAAAGTGCTAATTTCCATCTGCAGTCCTTCGGCAGGTAACGCCACAAATTTAACAGAAAAAAGAACAATAACAAGTGATAAGCGACAGTTCTACACTGAAAGTGTCCACAGGTCTGTTTTTCCTTTAGTCACTGTTTCAAGTGGGATTTGAATGTGGCCAGTGTTGGAGTCTCTCTTATTGATAATGGAAGACTATTCCAGAACTTAGTGCCTAAGACACTTTGTCCAAATGTGGTGCGTCCGTGTGGATCCTCACGATGTTCCACAGTCACTATGGTACACTACAATTCAGATCTGTGGAGAGTCGCCCCTATTCTCAGAAGCAATTGTTGTTTTTTTGAGCAATAGAAACACCTGCAATCAATAAATGCTAGATGGAAATGTTTAATGTCATATCATCGAACATTGCAAGGGAAGCAATACATCTCCATGGAGACAAGCAGGTAGTGGACCCTCCACCAGAAAAGTTTCACAGTGCACCTTTAAGAGATAAGTAAAATACATAGACCATAATTCTCAACTACCAAAACATATGTCTCTTACTTTTGGACTAAAACTACAACTTTTGAGAGATCACAAAGTTATTTGAATAGAAGTTCCACTATTTCAGAGTTTTGTTGGTGGTTATATAACAGTCTTCAATACACTTTTATCTCTTATTCATCTCTTCTTCTTTGTATTTCTGCTGACCTCAGTATTTCACACTCACAGATACTTCTTTAAATCTAACAGGTCACCCCCAAAAGAAGGAAACTCTAATCATTTATTCACCTGCTGATTTATTCATAATCTTATGCATTAAACATGGACGTCACTGAGATCCATGGGACTACCACTGCCCTGGGGCTATCCACTTCAGCTGGTCCATCCGCTTTTTCCTACAACATAAAAAGTGACTTCATGAATTTGAGTTGTAATGTACTTCCTGGTTTTACCTCCTGTTTATATACTTTCCCTAATCTACTTTTCTACTCTACTACTTCTACCTAATTTGTTTTTGATCACTGAATGGCCCTTATGGATCACCTTGTGTTGTTCATAATTAGAAAAACAAACTAGAGATGGGTGATATATATCCATGATAATATTTGTATTGTGATATCTGAGGATGTTTCATTTATCTTTATAATGGTACATTTCTTGACACATTGGCCTGATATTTTTTTCTATTTTTTTGTCCTAATGGAAAAGAAGAGCAGTGGATCTAAAGATACAACTGAATGTTTATGTAATTATCATAAATAGTAGAACAAATTAGACTGTCCAGCACCTATAATTGGTGCATTGTTGACTTGTTGGTACACGTGAACATTGAACATTTTACACAAATCAACCAACCTATCATATTTTTGTGATGAAACTCAAATTCTCCATTGAAATGAATGGGATTACCGCTTAACCCCAAGTTTCACTGGAACAAATGGATGGTTTAGTAGCATTTTGAGGCAAAAATGGGCAGGGTGGATCTGAGAAATTGGTATAATATTTACAATAGCGAAAAGTTAATTTGTGACTTTGCAATGGATTTCAAAATACTAATATTGATAATGGAAAATACTGGAGGGACTAATATTAGAAGGCTGAATGAATCCATTTTGGTGGTTTTCAGATGTTAGAATTTGATGATGAAATGGGGGGGCAAGAGCCAGAAATCTTTAAGAATTACCGTACATGGTATTCTTAAATTCACAAATATTTAACTTGATAACTTTTTTTAGTGACTAGACCCTAAAACTAGGCCTGTTATGATAATTATTATTTCCATTTCCGTTCAATACATGTTAGATGGAATAATGAGGTCAATATTTAAATTTATCATGGGACTTTTTCTTCAGGGAACTTTTTGGTATTTTTCTGTACCATGATCTGATTTTAGCTGTGAGGGTTGAATAAATCACTTTTAACAGCTGATTATAGATACAAACAAACTACTTAAGTGATTAATTCTGCTATTTATTTATAGCTGTTTGTGTTTTTTTTTAACTATGTTATACATTTCAAATAGTTTTTGGAGATAATCCTGCTTTAGGGTTTTTTGGGTCAGTAGTATAAATTAATTTCAGTATTATCATTTATCATAATATATATCAACAGAAATCAGCTTTTTGACCATTTATTTTAGCTGTTCCTTTATGTATTAATATTTTGGCACATAGAATATTATGTTTTCACCTGTAATCCTCTAATTGGAGCATTTCTAAAACATTTACCCCGCGTTTTGTTGATAATATTGCAATCTCCATTAGAGGTGGCCTACACCCTGAAGCTACAAACGCTTTACTGTCCATACCTAAAATTAGCTACAATAACTCATGACAATTACTGGATGGCACGTACAGTAAAATGTCCTCTATGGCTCTCTGCTATTTTCCATGACACCCAATGCTTGTGAATATAGGCGGTATCGTCATGGTAACGCTGACCCTACATAAGGTTACATCAATATATCGCAGCGCCTGATTGGTACATTGACTTCCTGTTGGTTTCGCTGAACGGAAAGAAGTTTTGTCATTACAGAAGTTGTTCTTAGTTTAGTGGAATGGTATTTTTAGTAATGACTGCTGCTGCATTCTTCTGCATCATCACCTCGTAGGCAGAGGTCATGTGACTGATGATCACAGGATGATGGTTCAATTCCCTCAGGGCACGAGGGTATAAAACAAGACCATAGTTGCATGTTTTACTTGACTATTGAACTTACTTTTTAAAATTGGTTTGTCTCTTCTACATCCTATATTACACAAAATTAGTCATTGTGAGCTACAATCCATGTTACAACGGTGGTGCCTCATCAAAAACATACCTGGAGTTGTGTTTTGTTTTATTCACACGTGTCTGAATAATCCTGCATTATTAGTCTGTCAAAATCTCCAAAGCTCAAAATTCTCTGTTCCACCTAGTGATGTCATGTAGTGGTAGTTTTCAAGTTAACAGTTACTTTTACTTTGGTAGCAACTGGCAATTCCAGCGCTGAAATTATTTAGCTGATTCTACTGAAGATGCAAGGAGTTTAAAACACAGTGGAGCACTTCCTATATTACCACATGACATCACAAAATGGAACATTTGAGAGAAGAACTCAGCATGCAGGGTTTGTGTGTTAAACATGTGTGAATGAAACAAAACACAACTCCAGATGTGTTTTTGAAGCAGTAACAACATTATGATATAGATCAGAAAATACTGTAATATGGGCCCATTTTGACCACATTTTTTAATTTCCCT